GTCGCCCTCCCCCTCGGTCCTCCCCAGCCCCGGCTGCCCCACGGCTGGGCACCAGCCCTGGCTGCCCCCCACCCCGCCAGCTGGAGGGACGCAGAGCCAGGGCTGTCCCCGTCTGAGGGGCCACAGCATGCGGCGTCGCTGCCCTGCCACCGGCACCGCAGGTCTCCACAGCCCTGGCATGGCCCCATCCCACCCTGCCCAGTCCTTCCTTGCCGTGCCAGCGGGCTCTGCCCCGGGGGGGCTCAGCCCCACAGAGCCAGTGGACCCCACTCGACCCTCAGCTCCGACACAGCCCCACGCTGCCAACCTGCCCAGCAACGCCCGGCTGGAGGCCAGAGCCACCCCGGGGGGCTGTCCCCCGCCATCAGGACCAGCCCCCCATGGCCCCCTCTGAGGGCTGCCTCCCCTCAGGAACATCGCCCAGCAGAGCCACACGGCCATGCCACCGCCTCTGCCCTCAGCACGGGGCGCTCCAGAACGTGGCATAGCCACACGTGGCCGGGAGGGGACAGGGACAGGGACTGGGATGGCAACTGGGACCCAGTGGCACCAGTGTTCCTGCTAGATCTGGCCACCTTTGGCCAAGGGTGTGCGAGCCAGGCCGGGAGCGATGCGGGGCTGACCTGTGCAGGGCTCTGGGCTGTGACAAGGTGCCACCGGCTGTGACAAGGTGCTGGTGAGGTGGAACCACTGAGGGCGGACATGTTACCAACGTGCTGACCCTCACAGATACAGCACAAGGGGCCCCTCAAAAGTGACGCAGCAGCCGGTGTTTTTAGGGACTCCAAGCAAGAGCCTGAGCCCAGCTTTGTGATAGTGACAAAAGCCACCGGGAGGGACAGGAACAGATGCGTGGCTGGCTCAGAACCCTTGGTGTCACCCTCCCCTGCCTGACCCCAAGGGAGCAGCCGGGGGTGCGTGGCTACGTGCGGGGAGGACAGACACACCGCAATGCGACACGGAGCCTCGAAGCCTGTAGGCAACCTCCCCTGAGGAGGGACCATTCCCTGGGCCCTGCTCTGCTCCCCTCGAGCCTGTCCAGCCCACGAGCAAGGAGCAGTTCAGCCCTGCTGTGGGGACATGCCCCCCCCATCCCCACATCACCCTCATCCCCACGAAGCCAGTCCCTGCTCCCCAAGCAACGCCAGCCCCACAGCAAGGCCGATGTGTGGTGGGTCTCCGCACCCCAGAACCTCCCAGTTCACCTCCTGGCGCAGTGCCTGCGCCCGCAGCCGGTGCTGATGAGCATGGCGTGGGATGGTGCCCCAGCTCAGAGGGAAGGATGGCGAGGAAAGGACCACTGTCCCCCTCCTGGTGCCACCAGGGAGATGGCAGGAAGGCCCTTGAGCCAAGCCCGCCACGAGGGTGCTCCCGGGTCAAGGATGACCTTTCTCTCCTCCACCCCTTCCCCAGCCGTGAGCTGGGGGCAGGTCTGGGGGGGCCGCCAAAGTCCCCACCCTATTGTGAGCCAGCGAGGGCACTGGGCCAGCAACGTCCCACACTGGCCCCAACCAACCACCTGCGTCTCAGCGCCAGGGTCCTCATCCCTGGTCCCCCTCACCATCACTCACCGTCTGGTCAGTGAGTGGGGGCAGGACGATGGTCTTCTCCATCGTGTTCATCACCAGCTTCCAGAGCTCCTTCAGCACCCGCTTCAGCACCGTCTTCTCGCAGATCTTGGCAAAGAGCGTCAGGCTGCAGAGAGGGGATGGGGCTGAGGGTCCCGGCATGGCACCCCTGATGTCACCCCCTGCCCAGTCACGCTGACCCTGCAGGTGCCCCACGCTCCCAGGCAGGTCAGGGTCTTTGGGGAGGGTGGGGGTCCCCGTTGCCCCCCACACTCACTTGCTGTCCAGGAGGTCCATGATGGGCTGCAGGACATTGTCAGCATCCTGCGCAACGCTGCTGCAGGTGCTGGCGGGGACGTTGCCGGTGCCCTTCACCTGGCCCAGGATGTCGCCCATCTGCTTCACGCACTCCTCGATGTGCGGCTGGAAACTGGGGACCGCGACGCCCAGGCAGCTCAGCATCCCCCCTGCCTGCGCCCAGGACCCGCTCGGCCAAGCAGAGGTCCCAGCCTGGCCCCAGCTGCAGCTCCTGAACCCCCAACCCTCTCCTTGGCCCCCCACCAGTGCCCTCTCGCTCAGGTGTACCTGGTGGCAAAGACTCGACTCAGCTCATCCAGAACGTTGTTGAGTTTCACCTGCAGTTCCTTGAGGATATCACTGGCTTCTGTGTCCAGCTGGAGGAGCGACAGGTTGAAGAAGCCATCAGGGTCCCTGGCCCAGCCTGGGGGAGGTCTCTGCACCCCAAATGCACCCGTGGGCAAGGTGAAGCCCATCCGTCATCAGACGTGGTGGGATAGCAGGGTGCCATGGGCTGGGACAGCGTGACCTCATACAGCAGTGAGGAACTGGAGTCTGCTCCCAGCACTGCGAAGCCGGGGAAGGGGCTGCCGCCGGGGAGAAGGGCCTGATCCAGCCCCTCCACAGGGCTCACTCCTGGACACCCCCAGTACACACCTCCTTCCCGCCCATAGCTTCAAACATCTTCTCCAGCTGGACACGGAGCTGCTGGATGTTGTTCATCAGGATGCAGGGCTGGAGGGGTGGGATGGAGAAGGGGGTCAGCAACAACAGATGTGGCTGGAAGAGCTGCCCACCGCCCCAGGACCCTCCCACCCTGCACGGGAGGATGCAAGAACAGCCATGGCATGGGGCCCTGCCTGGCAGCATGTCAGGGACCAACACTGGACAAAGACCGAGGGCAGGACCCGTGTCACAGGGACCAGCTCTGGAGCTGAGGTGATGGCTGGGGTCACTGTGTGGGGACAGTCCTGCCTGGCAGCACCAGGCAGGTGGCAAGCAGAAGGGAGATACATCACCACTTTCTCCTTCTCCTTGGAGCAGTAGGAGGCAAAATCCTTGGAGATGATCTCAGCATACTGGAGAAGCACGTTGCTGATGGTCTACAGCCAAGTGGAGGATTCAATCCATCCAGACAGCAGCAAAGAGGAGGAAGAGAGGGAGACCATGAGTCCCACAGCAGGGAAACAGCCCGATGTCTGGGTACACCCCAGGACCCCTGGACCCTCTGGTCCCACAGATGTACCTGGAGCTGCGTGGGCACAGCAGTGGAAGCTAGATCCAGCACGTCTGCTCTCCACAGGCAGCCCCAGCACAGCTATGTAGGCATCAAGCCTACACACAGCTCCCCCACACATTGCAGGGAGCCAGTGGCATTTAATTAATCTAGATTTATTAACCAGTTAACTCATTAATTAGCTAATCTCCTGTGCTAGCAAAGCTGGGAGAGCCACACAGTCTGTTGGTGGCATGTTTGCTTGAGCATCACTGTTAGAGGTTGTGCAGCCTATGCCCTGTGCCGCTGCCCGCAGCTGGATGGGAGGCGTCAGAGAGAGCCCAGGAATCGCAGAATCACAGAATCATCAAGGTTGGAAAAGACCTCTAAGATCACCAAGTCCAGCCATCAACCCAGCACCACCATGCCGGAGCCCCGGCCTGCCCGGCTGGGACAGGGTTCCCAGGGGTGCTGCTGGCCCAGAGGCCCCTGCCCCGGCAGCTGCCCACCTTGGCAAACCTTCGCATGTAGTGCCCAACAATCTGGGGGTCAGGGCACTCCAGCTTCTTGATGATCTCGAAGCTCTGGTTGAGCTGGGAGAAGACGTCCACCACGGAGCAAGAGAAGAGCGCGTGCTCCGACGTCTGCTGGAACTGGGGGAGCGAGAGGCGGTGTTAGCAGGAGGCAGGGAGGGGAGATACCGGCCCCGATGGGGACACAGCGGGCATCAAGGCACGAGCCCCTTG